AAAAATGCGACCGAGGTTTCCTTATTAGGGGCGGGGGGGCGTGTTTTTTAATAGGTGGACCGGATTACTAAGACAGAAAAAAATCCTAGCAACCATCTGACGAACCAGAATGCCATGAACAGCTCCTCAATCCATTAGAGTGGAGATTCCTTTTTCTTTTTGGAGCAAGGACTCCTCGTCTTCAGAGTTGCTGCATTTCCCAAGAAGCCGCCGACCAAAAAAATAGAAAAATACTGTTTTTCTTGTAGGCGCGACCATATGCGACCATACGGCGCACAAAAAGAAGCGGACAAAAAGGTCGGTCAGTTCGATGCCAATGTATCTCCAAAACCCACGGCTTCTCTTCGACCCTGTTTTGCATGGGTTAACCGGTACTCCCATGGCTTTTGTCGCCACCCGGGTCGACCAGGTTCGCTTCCACTCAGTCCACTCGCTCTCTGCGGTTGGGATGGGCCGGTTGGATGCATCCCAGGTGTGTCCCATGCCAAATCCAAGCTAGAACGGTAGCTGCATGTTGGCCGCGTGCAGCATGAACTCAGACGTTCACCCCAGCAAGCCGGTCACCCTTTTCCTGAGCTGAGCTTGGAGGTTTCAGCTTGGGGGAGCTTCGAGTCCCCTTTTGGTACTTCCAGGATTTTTTGGGGTAACTACCAGGTTTGGTCAAAGAAAAAAGAAAAAAACTGTTTGTGGAAGCATTCCGACTGTTTGTGTGCTTCACCTGATGGAAGCAAGCTCTACAAGCGTGTTTGAAGGAGAAGGGGTTGACGATCCGCCTTCGCTTCGTCCGGTGCTCGTTGGATCCACCCCGACTCTGGAGAAGAAGACAAGCAAAGCAAAGGTTGATCGAAGCAAAATGAAGAGGACATATACTAGCCGATCGTTCAGTATACTTGTGTGTTTCTCTTCTCTGTCTTTTTGCCAAAAAATGGTCCTGTTCCTTGTTTAGTGGTGTCTCCAATCCTTCAAAACACTGTGTAGGTGAGGCACCCATTTAGCCAGGGTAGCTGGTCTCTCTACCGGCTTCTGGTTTCGATAGTCTCCGTTTCGATGAGAGCAATGCCCAAGAACTAAAGCACCACAACCAACCTCAAGCCACCTACATGTTCTTGGATTTGCTTTCTTCGGATGCCATTGTTTGAGCATAATTGCAAACATATAAACAACGGATATATGGAGATAGATATGGTAGAAAGATCTTATGATCAATATGAGCCTAATTGCTAGTATGATCAAAAAGTTGAGAGTGTGAGTATATATTATATGTTATAAATAAATATATGTCCATGTGATCTTTCTAGGAGATGGTCGCAGCCAAGAATTACGGATAGATTTCAGAGTCACGCTCAATAACTGATCAAACAAAGTCACGCTGCAGTGGATCAAAGACAAACTGTAGACTGTAGACATCATCAGCCAACTTCTCCCCCAAAAGTGATCGAAGAACGCTGGAATAAACGGAAGCTGTGTCCAAATGTTCTTACATTTGGTACATACAGAGATGCAAACATTGACGACCAAGCATCTTTTGCATCCGGGCATAAGACGTGGCACAGTGTGCCAAACCCTTCTTCGCGTGCGAGCGATGCTCCATGCTCTGCACTGGTGACCTGGTTTGGAAAGCAAATTGGGGGAGAGTCACCCTGCCGCACATATCCGCTACCAGCAGTGTTTTTTTGGGGGGAGGTGGAAGGCTTGCCGTCCTGTGGATTGGGTGCGCGTTTGTTGTGGTAGGTACGAATGTAACCTTGGACTCTGCCCCCACACCACTCAATGATGATGGTTTCAACCAGTTTGGAGCCAGCACCCAGGATTTGAAGAGGCTACTGCCATGCCCTGCGACAATATGCTAGTTGCTACTCCCAACTATAGATTCAAAAGCTGTCCTGCTTGCTAGCTGGTCGAATAAACACCTGTCGAGCGTGTCGAGTGTCTTGCCAAGAGAACAAATTGTACTCTAGTCACATGACTGTAGCTGCTTGCTATCACAGTGGTTCAGTACTTGCGGGATACGCATCAGCAATCATAGTGAAATACCGTTAGACACCAAGAATCTCTGCATTCTTGGCCTTGGAAGATCCAGCTTGACCGCCGAGGTGCGCCGAAGTACTCATGACTCCCTTGCTCGTACACCGGTAGACCTTCCTGCCCTCAAACACGTGCATGGTTGGCACGCGTTTCTCGACTCTACCCCCCTTCTTACCGGTCAAAGTGGAGATCCTTCAGACTCGAAAGTCTTCACGCTCACGATCGCGACCGCCACTTGGAAAACGCCACACCGAAAACCGTTCACACCGAACACCGGGCGTTCGGTTTCCGCCGTCTTCGGGATCTTTGTCCGGATCGTTCCGGGTCGCATGGGGTCCTCTTCCACTGCCCATTGTTCCTCCTTGGTGATCTGGAAGGGCACCTGCGACCGGACGACCACCGCCGGCACCGCGAAAAAAACGTTCATTTAGCAGGACAGAGCATCCAAGAGCCGGATGCTAAAGTGATCACAGTAAGTGATATGTCCGGACAGAGCATCCAAGAGCAGGACAGAGCATCCAAGAGCTGTGCACCAGTGATCAATAAGTGATATTTCATGATATGTCCGTTCTTTGCACATGGTGTACGTATGATTTCTCTGTGGAGTCCCATCCATCAGGTTGACAACGATTGCCATCGCGGTTGGAGGACCCAATACGATCAATCAGTAGAAACCCATCACACCAACTGGCACCCTCGACAACCCTCAAGAGAATGGTCGGACTCCAGGTACTGTGGAAGACAACCCTTCCGAAACATCGGTGTTTGACCACAGTACCTCCTGGTCAAACACCGTTTGTGTTTTGAAGTGCAACAACACCGCACCGATTCGGAGCGATTCCTATCTTTGGGCTCAGACAGGTGCTCCGTCGACGCGACGAGTGGGTTAAGACAACAGGTACGTGCTCCAGAAATGGTTGCGTGCGTGCTTGGTACCTGTTTCTGCGACCCAATGGATCCGATCGGCCTGAAATTGACCCGGGTTTCTATGGTGTTAATCTTGGGAACCACTGCTTTACCAGCTATAGTGGTAACTAGATCTACTGGATCCCACATATATCCCATGCGCACCTTCAAGCCCTGCACCTTGTGGATTCGCATGTGAACCGGGGCTGATCGGCAGCGGCGGCCATGTACCGGACTCGTTGAGACTTCATCTTCCTTAGTGCCGAAGTCTTGCCCCGCCCCCACCGCTGCGAGCAGGACATGTTCGAGATGGCCATTGGTCACGTCACACCGAATCCGAAGAGTTCATGCTCAAAGCTTTCCAGGAAAACACGGCCAGCCCTTTATGAAACGAACAGTGCCACCCTGAACTACCCCCACTGAGTCCGTTCGTCGAACTACCAGTCCGTTGTCCTCGGTCGCAGCCGTGCGCAGATGATCGCAATGATCAGTGAAGATATGATCTAGTTGTCCCTGCGGCAGTCGTAGTCGTAGCGGTGTTAGTCGTAGTGGTAGTGGCAATGGTGGAGTGGTAGTGGTAGTGTGGTGGTAGTGGTAGCCCACTAGTGTAGTGTGGTGGTGGTAATGATAGATTGGTAGTGGTAGTGGTAGTAGTGTGGTAGGTGTGGAGTGGTAGTCACAAAATGCTGCCTGCATGCGCCTGCCAGGAAATCTGCACTTCCAGGCTCACAAAGCGCTGTGCTTGCCACGACATCTACACATCAAGGTTCACAGCGCGCAGCCCTGCCAGGGTGCTTCGCAGCAAAAGCAGTTCCAGAGACAACATCCAGATGCCAAAGCGCAGCTTCGCTAGACAGGTCCCCCCAAATTTTCGAAACACAAGCATAATTACAAGCGAGATATGATCTTCGAAGTGCATGTTTGACTGCGCAGGCTCGCAGAAAGTCTCTGACGGAAGCGTGGGGTGCTTTCGTTGTGGTGCACGTTTTCGGACTTGGTGGTCACGCAAAAGCCTGGCAGGCGCAAAGAAAACCCTCAGGGGTGGGTCGCAGTGGGTCGGAGGTGGTGTTTCTTTCGGCGCAGCGCAGTGTGGGAAACCCAGCGAAATGAGCGAAACAATGTCACCCCAACCAATTGTGGTCGAGTTGCGGACATCACGGAATTCTTTTCGGATGGCAATTCCTGGGACTCTTCCAGCCAAGTATTGACAGACACGGGCGACTTTTCCGCCTCTGGAACGACTCTTGAGAAGTTCACAGTAGCACTCGTGGAACTCCTGGTACTCGCTACGCTCCCCATGGGTGGCGCCACAGATCTTGCGGACAGGACTGTGCACTTTTGTGCACTTGAGCCTGCCTCGTCTGCCAGTGTGCCGGCACGCGTCACCCCGCCAGCCCACCGCCAGCGGTTTGGGGAGGTCAGGAGGCCAAGTCGGAGCGAAAGTCTTCCGTCTTTGACCATCCAAAGAGAAATACCAAGCTATACCAAGCTCCAAGAGCGGCTCACAGTGAACAGAGCAAAGGGGAGAAGGTGTCCATCGGCACATGATCTTAACACCAACACCTGGTAACACCATATGAAGAAACCTATCCCTGATTATCCCTGTAATTATCTTTCCGACTCGGAAGAGTGATTGCTACCTTCAATCGCTATGCCAAGCACTCAGCTCCAACTACAGCAATGGAGTTTGCTACCGTTCTTTTGATTCTTTTGAACAAATGGTGATGGCCTAGCAGCAGTACCAGGTCTATCCAATCACGGTCTAAGCCCAAAAGCGTCCAGGTTCAAGAAAAGTTCCGCAAATATGCCAGGAGAGTGCGGGCGCTTTCACTCTCCTCCAACCTACGGAGCTGGTCCGCTCTTCGCGAAAAGAAAGCACGCACCCTCTTTCCAGCCTTTGGGCCATGGTAGATGATGTCTAAGACACCCATCCAAAGCCGGTCTTCTACAACAACGAGTTACAAGAAGGTCAACAAGTCTCCCCTCCAACAGAAGAGACTGCAGAACCCTGCGCTCTGTGTGTTGACCCAAATCTAATCTTTCCATTGGACCTTCCCTTCCAGCCTTTCCAGGGCCCGAACAATACTGCTTCCCACGCTTGGGTGGCAGTGGCTCGTAAAGCTTCGGATTGCTCCTCAACATCACAATGGATGCATGTGCGCTGGACAAGGCCTTTTTTCACGACTTATAAAGGAAATAACACCTCCTCAGAAGGTAGTTGGACCCCACTGGCACCCGCCCCAACCACCAAACCCGCGAGGATGGTGCTGGACCTCGGGTATATAAAGGACATATACTGTGTAACTCAAATCAGGAGACCCGCACCACAGAACAGCTGGGAGGTTCGGGAGTCCTCACCAGTTGACCAGTCGGCGGCCCATCCATTGAAGTCCTCACCAACACTTTCTCCAACAAACACGGAGTGTAGTTCCACTTCCGGGTATAGTACCATCCCCAAAGAAGTTGTCACACCGCTCACACTCCTTTCTTTGCATTTGACTTCGGGCCTCCTCGCATGCCTAGCCACTCGAGGCCCAGCCTTTTCAGCTCAACCCACAACGAGCAATGTGCCCGCCACTCCCCCACAACGAGCCACCACCAACCGCCAAGGGTTTCACTGGGACGAACAACCACCAAGCGGGATGAGTCGATGTGAGCATCTTCCCAAACAGGAGCTGTTTGTGAAGAGGGAGGAGTCGTGACCGAACATCCGATTGAAAAGGACGGTCACTTTGAAGGTATCAAAAACACATCTCCTGTCAAAAGTGACAGGAGACCCAATAGTGTAACAACATATCACTATGCATCAGTACTTCGTAGGTTGTCTTCTTCAGCTTCCTGAGCTTTCAACTCCCGAAAAATCAAAACTATACAAATAGAAGCATCTTTAACCTACATGACACGTTCATGCTGACAAAATAATGCGAATGCTGGAAAAGCTACTGAGTTACAAAAGCAATACCAGCATCACTGTTGCAATCATAGGAACAGCACCCTCATGGATCTTGGTTCTCTATCACAAGTGGAGCTTTGACAGCAATGTGCGGCTCTGTTGAGCAGTGTCATGTTCACTGCGCGATACATCTGATGCTAGTTTGTTCACCCTCTTCAAATGCCCTCCCATTGTGTGCGTTTCCAGCGCCTGCAGAAAGCATGCCTTCTTGGAGGTCTTTGATTCTTGGAGGACTCGCCCATGTTCTTTCACTTATTGGGTTCTTAAACGCTGCCAGTGACATCTGCCCATCCTGAGCTCATCGTCGAAGGCTTTCAGCTGTTGAGTGAAGCCTTCATTGGGGCATGCCTGGCAGGGCGAAGCAAAACTATGCATTGCGCCGAAGCGACGCTCTGGACCTGACCTGGATCAACTGACCTCGATGTGGTGGAGGCTCCTCTTGGTGGCCGGGTTGCCAATCTGCTCATGCGCTCGTTCGAAAACAACAGGGCCTGCTCCGTTCGCTTGGGGGCACGAGTTCCAAGTTGGCCCACTCAGTGCTTGGGAGTGCGATTGGACTGGTGTCTTGCGGAGTCTTGGAGTGCTTCGCTTGCGGTGTGGAGTCTGTCTGTTTGACACTTTTAGTCTTTGCCCCACTTGTGAGATTCCTTGGATGATCGTGGGTAGGGGCTTAGTTCTATAGGAGAATCATCCAGGTGTTTCGACTAGGTCTGCCGCTCTTGAGAGCCTCCACTTCCTTCAAGTATTCTCAAATTCTCGTGATCCTTCCGCAGAATTGGGCTTCAGAATCGAGGCGGACTCGACCAAGGACATCCAAAGGACATCCGCAGAATGGCTCCATGATGCTCCATGTGTTCGGAATCACATAGCCATGCTACGAATGACATCGTCTGCTACGCTTCATGCTGCCTCCGGTCTCATGTGTGTCTCCGGTCTCTAACCCCACCGGGCGCCCGGTGGGTCGGAAGAACTTGGATCCCGGATGGCGCGCAGAGAGTTCCGCATCGGTTCGGAGGTTTGCAGGACATCGGTGGGAGGAGAGGGAAGGTGGGTGTTTCGTCTATGCGACCTGGAAAACAAGAGCTCACATAGTTAAGGTTCTGATAGGGACAGACCTTGGCCACCACACCCTACCTTCACCACCTGAGGATGTGGGATAGGATCCCTAGACGATCTTTCCTTGGCTGTATGACATCTTTGGCTTCAGCATCAAGACCGACGCATTGATGATTCTTCCTTCTTCTGCTTAGCTGATCAGTTGAGAGACTTTTGGGGGGACATAGTGATGGACTTGTGACCATGATACGTGCAACGATCGTCTCCCTATGTGATCTATGTGTCATTATCGTAGGAATAAAAAATGTATGTACAGTAGACGTGTCTTTTCATCTTGATCTGCCTTCATGGGATTTCATGGGAGTCAATCATCTCCTCACAGTTTGAGCAACCACTCTGACCTACACACCGCAGCAACTTCGCCAAGTCCCGTTCGCAAGTTCACCAGCTTCTGCATGAGTCTGCCAAGTCTCGTTCCTGCTCGTTCTCAGTCCCTCCCACAACGGACTTGCTGGACGCCCCGCACGCTCTGCTCCCGCTCCCGCCTGGGATCGTGCATCCTTGCAAATCGCATAGGCCTCGTCGAAGCTCTTCCTCGCCGCGAGAGAAGCCAGAGAAGCCAGCGGATCCGAGACGCGGTGGCTGATTCCGAAAGCAGCCGGGTCCGGCGGTTGATCAAGTGGAATGGAGGTGGGAAAGTTGGAGATGCGAGGCTTGAATTAAAACATATGGGGCGAGGTTCCGTGGTGAGGTTCCCATTCTCATCAAAGCTCTACTCGGACCAGGTCGGCAGTTTCTCCCAGGGTCACTTTTGGTTCCTTGGAAATGAATATGGAACCCCAAGCTTACCACGGGGTTAACACCAAATACATGGTCGTTTCACCATGGGTCCATGCTCAGGTCCCACGTGACTTGGGGGAGTAATTGCACGATGATACTCACATGGAACCTGGTGACCACAAGGTTGTTATATAGTTCCATGTGTTTTTTTGCGGGAGTGCCCGATGGTCACTCTGATCCTCTAAGGCCCCTTGCAGATCAGAAGCGATTTTTTCGGCCCAAACCCTTGGGACCGGCCCGGGGAATCTGTGATCTGCGATCGGCATGGAGTGCGGTTGGTGTCAGGAGCATGTTTGCCCCAAATCATATGAACTCAGTCAAAAGCACGTGGCAACAGAAGAGATTCAGAGTGGCATTCACCTCGGCCAAACCCTCCACATCGCCGATCGCGTGAACCCTCGTTCACCATTCCCACGTTCACCATGCCCGAAGAATTTCGTGACCATGAGCCACATTAACAGACCAACAAAACAGAACATCCCTATACCAGCACCTTCATGTCGGGGTCATCAATGGAAGCCCCAGCCCACCACTAAGGGACCTCCAGACAGGACACCCCTTGAAGGTCCAGGTAGCCCTTCTATGACTCCCACGGACGACCCCCAGGCGCTGAAGGTTGCACTGTCCACCCCACGCGCACGCCAAATCCAGCACTTCGCGCCGCAGGTGTCGGGTTTTGCGCAGCGAGGAATGCTTCTGACGATTTCGTCGGCACCGCCTGAGCATTTCTGCTTGGAAGGGCCGAAGAAGAGGATGTTTCTGTGGTCTCCAAGGCGAAACACCACCGCCTGACACAGAAGTTCATGGTTCCTCATTTTTGGGTGGATCCCTTTTGAATGGGTCGGTGGTGGATATGCAATCTCATTGTTTGGCTCCTCAGTCTGCAGAATCAAAAAGGAAACTGTAGACCTTGAAGTGGAGAGTTTTCCCAACCAAAACACGTGCAGACTGACCACTGTATAGAAACAAAAAGAACACCTGCACACAGAAAAATGAAAAAAAACAAATGGTCATCATTCCTCCCGTTCATTTCATCCATCTGGCGACATGGCACGGCCTGGTCGTCTCGTCTCGATCATTGGTTGGACGTGTCCAAACTGCGAACCAGTGCCTGGCGAATCTGGCAAAGGGCACGGACCCAAAAACCTCCCAGTGCGTGTGTTTCATGCTCAACCTGGAATTACTGTAGGGCCTTATAGCGTGTTTTCTTGCCGAGCCTCTCAAGTCACCTACTTGTTTCATCTTTCTTTACCCCAGCTGCAGCTGCATTTGATGAGGCATCCCTGCCAGTAGAGCAGTAGTGTTTTGAGCCAAAATCCATCCAAATCGCACCGAAATCCGTTCAAAGTTCAAAGAGCTGTGGGGCCAGGGGCCGAGTTCGGAATTGCTCGTGGGCTTCAAGGACCGACCGTGATTCTTCCACCTTCCAAACATGTCCCGCCCACTCCCGCGGGAGTTCTCTTGATCGATTGGGGCCATCTTCCGTCCCCAAGCTTCGGACGGGGACGGGGAAGGCATTGCGAACTGGCAAGAACTGGCATCAAAAATGGACACCTTTGGTCACCCATAGAGTCCGTGATCGATCACGCTCCGTGCGTCGCACGGCACACGGTCGTCTCCCTCGCCGGCCCGCAGTCCCGCGACCTCGTTCTCACCGAGCGCACCAGCTTCGACGCCTTTGGGCGACGCGACCTCTTTGGGCGACCAGTTGCTACAGCCATGTGGCCACAGCCAATGAAAGCCATGACAGCTGAGCTGTTCAGAGAAGCAGGGAGATGCACAGATCTTAAGGAGCTGCAATCTTGGAAGGCAAACTTTCCAATTTCAGTCACAGAGTCGGGAATCACCAGACTTGTCAAGGAGCTGCAGTGCTGGAAGGCGCCAATTCCGATGTGAGTCACCGAGCTAGGAATGGTGAGCCTGGTCAAAGATCTACAGCCCGCGAAGGCGAATCTTCCAATCCGGATGACAGACTTCGGAATCTTCAAGGTCGTCAAAGACTGGCAGCGGGAGAAGCTGTAGCGTCCAATCACTGTCATGGAGCTGGACAACGTCAGGCTTGTCAAAGAGGTGCAGCCTGCAAATGCATATAGATCAATCTCACGCACTGAATTAGGGATCCTCAAGCTTCTCAGAGATGTGCAGCATGAAAAGGCACTCTCTCGAATATGGGTCACAGAGTTCGGGATAGCTAGACTTGTCAAAGACTCGCAGCCTGAAAAAGCGCACGTGTGAATCTGTCGAACAGAACTAGGGATGGTCAAGGATTCCAAAGACGCGCAATTCTGAAAAGTAGAATCCTCAATTGTCGTCAGTGCATTGGACAGTGTCAGCCATATCAAAGAGCTGCAGTCCAAAAAGGCATACTTTCCAATCGAGATCACCGAATCCGGCATGACCACTCTTAGCAAGGATCTGCAGCCTCGGAAGGCAAAATCGCAAACAAACCGTGCAGTCTCCGGAACGCGCACGTCCTGCAGACCCATCTTTGCTGCACCGCCGGTGCAGCTGCACTCGACTGGTGGTTTCATGGTGAACAAGACCTCAGCAGTCGTTTCGACCGACGTGCGGTTCGCAAATGACGCGCTATATGGCAAAGAGGACAAATCAACCTGGAATGTCGGGGCGGTCATTTCACAACCTCATGCATGTGTATAACTGTGTATATTCACAACAAAAGGTATATGTAACATACAAACCAAATATGGGTTCATATATGATTGAATCATATTATACATGTCTATGTATACCCACTAATATGTAAAAAACAAATGTGTCGAAACCTCGTGACCACGTCAGGCAGCCATCTCACCAAGCGTTCGATGTTACCGTGGAGGGTTCCTACTCCGTGGAGATTCACCGACATGGTCGGAAGAGACGAACCATGTCAGACGACCAGTCGGCCTGCTGATGTTTCAATCCAACGTCCCTTGACCGGACATTTCGTCCAGGTGCCTTGTCCAGAATTACACTGGCATAGACCCCAGATAGCGGGTGTATATAGGCTTAAAGGACACGTCACGGACGGCTGTCACAGCAGCACGCAACATCAGACCAGTCCACCAATATGTGCGCAACAGCTATCAGCTGAATGCGCCCGCCTTGCCCAACACAGGCGTAACACTGCAAGATCGGCAAGCGGCAAGGACCAGCCAAAGCTGCACACGACGTGATGATCATTGCTGATCAACACGGTGTCACGCACACTATGACAGCATGTCACCCTGGCATGACATGATGTCGCCCCTGGCATCACGTGATGTCATCCCTGGCGTGACATGATGGCATTCGGGGCATGACGTCCCCTGGCATGACATGATGTCATCCGTGGAATGGCATAACGTGATGTCATTCCTGGCATGACATTGTGTCGTCCCTGGCATGACATGATGTCACCTGGCATCACCAGAAGCCATCCCCGGCATGACATGATGTCATCCCGGGCATGACATGATGTCACCTGGCATGACCTGATGTCACTCCTGCCATGACATGATGCCATCCCTCGCATGACATCATGTCATCCCTGGCATGACATGACGTCCATCCTGGCATGACATGATGTCATCCCTGGGCATGACATGATGTCATCCCTGGGCATGACATGATGTCATCCCTATATTCCCGAGTACCTTTTTAAAAAAATCCTCCCCAATTAAAAAAAACACGTCCGAAGCTCTAAATTCGGTCTAAATTTGGTTTTAAATTACCGCCCTTTCAAGCCGCTACTAAACTACCAACATGGTCGATTTTGGGGGTAGTTTCTTTTTTTCATTAGGTTCCAAAAACAACCGTAACTGCCCACATCTGTCCGCCCTCGGTATCCACCATGACACGCCGCGTTTACACCAGCAGGTTTTCCTTCCTCCAATGGCACGGACTCACGCAAACGCACTTGCCACCGAGGTCCTGCAAAACCGCATGGCACAGCGACATCACCTTTCGAAAGCTTTGGTTGTTAGTCTAATGAAGAGTCAGTATTCAAATCAAGGATAATCAAGGTTTTTGTAGGGGAAAAGGAAGATTCTTCAATCTGGAAGTTTCTTGAATTTTTGATACGAGTTTAATAAAGGATTTTGTATAATGTTTTTCTGGGATGGCTTTTTGGTCTTGAAGCTCTTCCCAGGTGACCCTATTTTGGACCCCCCCGATTTCAGAGACCCCCTATATTAAAAATGCGGCCGAGTTTCTCTTATTCGGGGGGGAGGGGGGGGCGTGTTTTTAATAGGTGGACAGGATTACCCCTGGCATGACATGATGTCATCCCTGGCATGACGCAAAACGAAACGCCAATCCAGAGCCAGCGCCTGCACCAGCACCAGCACGGCACCAGCACCGGCCAAACAAAACGCCGATTCAGCACCAGCACGGGAGCAGCGCCCGCAAAACGAAACACCGATCCAGAACCACACCATTGAGAAGTTGGAAACCTTTCAGCCTGCAGCTATCTTGGGAAAAAAAGGACCCGGATCGCTGGAAAAGCCACAGATCGCATGCGGCGAGCGAGTTCGAGTTCGAGGAGGAGCGCCGCACCTGCACCGAGGAGGAGCCTGAAATCCCAGCATTGATCAGCGTCTCGTCCTCATCATCCAATTTCCTGTTATCCATTGCAGCATGACCCGATTCCAACTCTGTACTGAAAAACCACAAGCAAGAATCCAAACAAACATAAGAGCCTGCATGGAAGAGAAAACATGTTTAGTGCATGTCTTGATCTTTCATTCCCCCAGTTCGCACCCAACAGGCTTCATTCC